AAAAAAAAAAAAAAAAAAAAAAAGTTTCTCCAGAGAAATTAGGACGTCACACTGCTAAATATAACTGCGTGCTAGGCTTGGTGCTACCTATAGGTAGAAACTGTGGTCCGTTTCACAAAACGGCTATAGCACCAAAGTTGGACTTAACTTTAAGACCCCCAAAAATTAGCATACTTTACTGTAGTCAATTTTTTAAAAAGTAGCTATAGGTCTGAAACATGGGCCATGCCATTCTCGTTATAAAACAAACGCAATACTCCATTTTATTGGACTACTACGGATTAATCTTGTATCAAAGTGGACTGAAATATGTCTAAAAGTTAAAACCAGGTTACGGGCTGTACCCCTTTCGTGACACAAGCCCTCGTTATGGAGGCTCCAGGCTAATGCGGACAAAAATATTAGGCCTACATGCCCTCGCCGTGTACTACATGGCTGTCTAATAACCCCTGTCACGCTGCGGTAAAAACCAAGCCAGGTTGCCCAATGTTATGATTGTGGTGAACCGCAGTATCAAGTAGTTGTGAAGCTTGCGGTTTTTGTGTCAACAGAAAAGGTCGGCAGCGCGCGGTTAAAAAGAGCACTTTTAAAGTGGCGGCTGCTGGCTTTTTGTGTTAGAAAGGTTGGGGTGGTCGTTAATGTAAGGGTTTTTATATTCAGTGTGAGATTATTTTAAATATATATTTACATTTATAAATATGTGATGACATATTGTAATAGGCTAAATGTTGTCATTATGTTAAATGAATAGTTAAAGTGATTTTATGAACTCTTTATATCGGTCATTCAAAACTCATTCTTAACACTAATGTCGCTCTTTGCGTTAATTCCTTCATTACCTCTGCTGAGTTTGTTACTTCGTTACCTCGGGGTATCTTTATTTAAGGCCATATTTCCTTGACCTGTTGAACTCTGTCGATTCATATTTCATACCATTTTATGCAGTGTCGTCTTTTTGACTTTGACGGGTCAATAATATGGTTAAATTCAAACTATTGTACATTGTAGCATGCACCGGACCACGCGCCTGAAGATCACGGAGTTGAACCCGCACCTGATGTGCGCACTCTGCGGGGGTTATCTCACAGATGCCGCCACCGTCGTCGAGTGTCTCCATTCTTGTAAGTATTGGAATTTTGCGATTTACTTAGTAGAATACCTTTTACATCGTGGAGAGAAGCAGTTTTGGAGAGGGGAGAGGAGCGAAAGTCGTTGCTTTCCAAGCCGTTTTTGAACGGTATTGAAATACGTTTCCATACGTAGCAGTTGTAGTGCAATTTAATTTTGAGCGAAGGAAAGAAAAAGCGTTTTATAGTCCAAGTCATAATTAATATTTTGAAATGTTGATGAGAGGGGGAAACGAAAGGTCAAGAGCGGATTCTGGGTTAGAGAAGTTCAGTGAGAGTCTCGCTTCTTTGTTCACCAGGGGCGAGTGTTGCACAAAATAACTTAAGCCAGAAAATTGGCCTAAATTTTTAGGTTCTGATTGTGGTCTGCTTTCATCCAGGATAAATCCGTAGTAAACCAAGTGAAGAAAATATTACTTGGCTTTTATGACTAGGAAGACATGGGCGATGTTTCAATCCGTTTTCTATTAATTCGGATTACTGTGGATTAATCTTGGTCTAAATTACAAAACTAATTAGTAAAAGAGCGATTTTCTCGCTAAAGTTCATAATGAAACAGCCCGGTCTATTTAATATCTCATGGTTTACTATAGACAGCGTGGAACACTGAAGACACTTTTTAGCGGTGTTTGTATTTTTACAAATTATGTAACAAAAGATTATATCGGGAAAGAATGGTTGTTTTTTTACCAAACTCGATTTTAATTTTCATATATCATTAAGTAAAGGTGTTTTATTACAGTTTGCAAGACCTGTATTGTTCGATACATGGAAACCAGTAAATTTTGTCCTATTTGTGACGTCATGGTGCATAAGACGAAGCCGCTCACGAATGTCAGGTATGTATCAAACTTTGTTGTCATGTGTTTCTCCTTGCCGTTAAGGTTCTTCCTCTTCTTCTTGCACTTCCTGTCTTTTCTCTTCCTCTTCCTCAATCTGTTGTCATAGTATGTGTTGCTTTTTCATTGCCTCTTTTAAAATTTTGTTCACTTTGTTGCCCTTGTTGTCCTGAAAAGTACCCAGAGAGCGTTACCTTCCGCCAAGGACTTGACCTGTACTAAATTTTTGACGATTGACATTGCATTTGCTTAGAAACTTTCGATAACGTTACAAAACAGACACAAGACGTAATTATTTGATAACATATGAAAGGCAAGGTACCAAAATTTTTTACTTTAAAAAAAGACAATGAGTCTAATGACCACTACAAATAAATAATAACATGTGTTTTATGCATAGGCTGGACAAAACGCTACAAGATCTGGTCTACAAGTTGGTTCCAGGACTCTTTAAAAGTGAGTAAATTTTAGCGTATCCTTCTTTAAAAGCCAACAGCACTGCTCTATTCACTGACTGTTTGTGATGAAAGAAAATAACAAGTAACTGTAACAGTTATTTTATTAATATATTAATATATTATATATATAATAATATATAATATGATATATAATTAATACATATTAATGTCCTTTAATTACTAAATGACGCGTCGAATATTTCCTTTGCTGTGTTTATGGTTTTAGTTTATACCTTTGTTGTTTTTTTATTTACTCAATTATAACGTGGTGATTTTCCCTATCAATAAAAACTGAAGTCACAGTTACTGAGAAAGAATGTCAATGTAACTAGAGACATATCTGTGAACACGTGGTGAAAAATTAACCTGTGACCCTGGTAGAGTGTAACAGTAGGGCACGTGAAATATAGTAAAACCCCGGAACTGAATGACATGTTGGGACCAGTCAAACTGGAACGATACAGAAAACTGTGCCACTACATGTGAAGAGAGCCCTAGAGTGGAACAGCTCTGGTTTCAATCGGTGATTGAAGAAATTACTGTGGTAACAAGTCACATGTGTGTTATATCTTTTGATTGTATTCTCTGTAGATGAAATGAAGAGGCGCCGAGAATTTTATTCTGCAAATCCTGACTTAGGTAAGTGGCGCATGATCCGCATTTCCTGCCATTGCAGATATATATATATATATATATATATATATATATATATATATATATATATATATATATGTAGGTCTTTGTGATAATAAAGGCTTTCTGCGATAATTCAGGTTACTAGGCGAAATGTTAAATTATGTGAAATCGTATTGACAATCTTTTAAAAAGGGACAGGACAGTCTTCTAGTAGCTTCTGATTTGCTGCTACTGTTTTAAATTTTTTACTGAAACAAATGGGATATTCATAGTAATATAAACAAATATGTTACAAAATTTTAGTAATAATCAGCATTTTGTTCAAAATATCAGATTTCCAGGGTCATCTAAAAGCATCAAGATGGCATTGATAATTATGGTATTTCGATGAAAAACGTCCCTGCCACTTCTGCTTTTAAAATTATTTTGTTTACCAATTTATTGTGATTTTCCCCC